TTTAGGGGTTTGGAGTTTAAGGGTTTAGGGTGTAGGGATTTGAGGCTTTGGGGTTTAGAGTTTAGGCTTTAGGGTTTGGGGCTTAGGGATCAGGGATTTGAGGCTTGAGGCTGTAGGGTTCAGGGACTAAGCATTAGGAGCTTGAGGCTCTAGGGTTTAGAGTTGTTTAGGGTTTAGGGTTTAGGGCTTCGGGGCTTGGACCTGAGTTGTTTGATCGTTTTAGGGGTTTAGCGCCTTAGGGTTTAGGCTCTGCGGTCTGGGCTGTAGGGTTGAACGGTCTACGCGATTGCAAGGTTTCAGGTCTTGGGTGGGGGCTCTTAAATAGGGGCCTAAACAACTACCAATACTATTTTGGGAGTTCCTGATTATAGTATAATATACCCCGAAGCCCTATACGAATTATTTATTAGGCCCCTATATTAGACGTTCAGGTTTTGGGTCGCAGGCTTTAGGGCCAGGGCGCTCAAGGCCAAAGACACGGGTGCACGAGGCGCTTGAAGGGGCTTGGTAGCTGGGTTTAGGGTTTAGGGTTTAGTGTTTAGGGTTTAGGGTCAGAAGTGAGGTGACTGCATAAACGAGATGATTGCAGGCATGGTCCCATTCCTGTGAGCACGACTTATAGTTGTGAGGTTGGTGATCATGATAACGACCATGATGAATGATGATGCAGAAGAAGAGATGATGATGATGATGATGATGATGATGATGATGATGGCGAGCAGAAGGAGGATGACGTGGGAATTGCTGCTACTTCCTGCGCCTGACTTCCGACATGCTGGGTTCCGACGCTTGCCTAAGACTCCGGAACTCGCCCCCCAAGCCCAAAATCCCTAAATCCTAAACCCAAGGCCCTCAGCTCTAAACCCTAAACCCTAAACCCCTAAACCCTAAACCCTAAACCCTAAACCCCTAAACCCCTAAATCCTAAACCCTTAGCCCGAAATCCGTGGAGTGCCAGAAGGCCACCAAAGCCCGTATTTCCGAAACTCCTTTGAACTTCTGCAGGGCTCGACGAGATAGCCTGGATTCAGGGAAAACGGCTAAGATTTAAGCAATAACCCTACCAAAACCTTTACAACTCTATACACGAATCCTAAAACCCTAAACCCTAAACCCTAAACAAAGAATGCCCTCATAAAGCTTTACCAAACTCCCGTGATACATCGAACACTGAGGTTCTTGGGAACGCAAGAAGCCCCGAACCCCCAGTTTCTAGGCTTTAGGGCTTAGGGCCCTAACCGGTCCTAACCCCTGAACCCTAGACCCCTCAGTGCGCCATAGCATGGTGCCCCATATCCCTAAGGCTCCAAATAGTTCTCATTTATGGGTTTTTGGTACCAAGAAAGGACCCAATTTCCAAAAATAGAGAGTACTTGGACCCTAAGGCCACCCTAAACCCTAAACCCTGAACCCTAAACCCTAAACTTCCCTAAACCCTAAACCCTAAACCCTAAACCCTAAACCCTAAACCCTAAACCCTAAACCAGCGTTTAGAGCATCCCAAGGCCTCACAGGCCGCTGCCAAGCGGCTTCGCTCAGCGCTGGCTGCCGCCGATCGGGCCGTCCACGAGGCGGAAGACGACCAGGCCGGGGCTGAGGGATTGAGTTTAGGTTTTAGGGTTTAGGGTTAAGGGTTTAGGGTTTAGGGTTAAGGGTTTAGGGTTTACGGGTTAGGGGTTAGTGGTTTGGGGTTGGGAAGTCCCTGCCCTCGAGCATCTTGCCGGCATACAATCCAAGCCCGTGCTCAAAAAAGGGGTTTGGGGTTTGGGGTTTAGGGTTTGGGGTTTGGGATTTGGTTGTTTGGGGTTTATTTAGGGTTTGGGGTTTGGGGTTTGGGGTTTAGGGGTTTAGGGGTTTAGGGGTTTGGGGGTTTAGGGGTTTAGGGTTGTAGGGGTTGAGGGGTTTAGGGGTCCAGGATTTAGGGTTTAGGGGGGGCTAGGGTTTAGGGCTTAGGCCTCTGGGTTGAGGGTCAGGGGATTAAAGTTCAGGGTTTGGCGTCTATGAGTCTGCGAGGGTTCATCAAGGGGTTTAAAAGAGTCCTGCGAGGGGTTCATCAGAGTCTACAGGGGTTTATGAGGGAGGGTTCCGTATGAGGGTTCTATGAGGGTTCTACAAGGATTCTATAGATTTGTATGAGGGTGCTCATGAAAGTCTTTAAGGGATTCTCGACGGGTTCCGGTCATAAGGCTGCCTCCAGGCTGCGCTTTACAACGTTTAGGCGGGCTCTGTGCCCAGACTCGGCGAGGATCTAAACGGGAAGTTGTTAAAGGGCTCTAGCTTCACGATCGTCGAAGGGTTTTGGGTCAAGGGCTTTGTGACGGAGGGTTCTACAAGGTTGCTATGTTATGAAGATTTTTATAGGGCTTCGAGGAATGAGGGTTTCACAGGGGGCCCAAATGAGGTTCGTCTAAGGCGCTATAATTATAATGAAGGCTTCTGCACTCGTCTGTGGTACGGGTTCCACTAACCCGTTTTAACATTGTAAAGGGTTTAGGGTTTAAGTAGCGACTCAAAGGCTCCATTGGGTTTCATGGGCTTTTATACATAGCCCGCTTTACGCCCAAACCATAAAACCCCAATGGAACCCCCCTGATAGAGCCCTTGAATCAAATCAGGTCCGAAATCCCAGACCCGGAACCTAATGTAGGGGCCTAAATAATTACCAATACTACTTTGCGGGTTCCTTCTTAGAGTTTTCGTATTGTGGGCCCCAAAACCCTAGTCTAATTATTAAGGTCCCTATATTACAATCCGAAACACTAAACCCTTGTGACCCCCCCTCCCATAAACCCTAAACCCTCACCCCTAAACCCAGACCCAGTGGCCAAATGGACGGCGCATCACAACAATCAGGTGGATGCTGTTTGCAAAAGAAGTAAACAGCCAATGGCCACTCAAGTACGTGAACTTCAACTGCAACTCTTCCGCACTGATGCTTGTGAAAAGCACAGCAGCCCAACTCAAGTTTGCAAGCGCAACTGAAGAAGGGACAACATGTCCACACAAACGTCGCATCCATCACTCTTGCGAGTAAGGCGCGGGATTCAGATGTCGAGGAAAACCCATCTCCTCCTCGAGCGCTTGCTGTCCAAGTTCGCTTGCAACGTTTGGTGGTATGTGTTTCGTTTCAGTTGGTTGGACTGGGTGAGCCTGTGGATTCGTCAAGCTGGGTCATGTCGGGTGCTTTCACAAACGTTCTCCCACAGCTTATGCTTCAGCAACAGCGGGGGCGCGATGATGTTGGGGCCAGAGGCAATCGCTTTCAGTCCAGATCACGGCATGTCGGCCTTTTTTGCGAGCTCAGCAGTTGGGTGATCCTTTTCAGGCGCGGTCCTTGGGCCCTCCCTGGTGTCCTTGGGAGTTCGCAACGTCCTTCCAGGATTGTTGGTTCGACCCGGTCGTTCTCTGAATGGGAAGGCCTTAGCGAAGATCAGTCTTATGGTAGCTTCTAATTCTTTTGCAAGCATTACGAGAGCAATCCTGTAGTCTCTGATGAGCAATTACTTCATCCAGGGTCAGTGTGGTCGGCATCCAGGCGAGCTCACCGGCAAGCTCAACAGGGCTGACTTATTTCGAAGGTTTTTTCCGTAGTGGACCCACCAGTCACGGTGCTTCTGGATCGTCCATGTGGCATCTTGCATAAACCCTAAACCCTAGAACCAAACCCCGTCTCCGAAGCACCAGAGTGCCAAGAGGTTGAGCTCATCCCACCGCTCATGGAGTGTCCCGGACATACTTTAGGGCTCTTTCGGGCTTGTGCAGTAGAACAGGATTCCTTGTAGGCTTCCCCTGTCAAGGTTTTCTACTCAAGGGTTTCTATGAAAGTTACAATAAGTGTCTACTACACGGGTTTAGTAGAGCGGCCTTGATAGATAGAATTGGGTTTCGAGGGGTGTGCCATGCTAAGCTATGTTTGTCATAAAAAGCCCTGAAGAATACGTAGTGCTATTACTTTGTCAGGGTTTAGGGAGGCTTCTATACAAGGGTGGTTGTTTACTTGGACCTCAGGCGGCTTTGTAGAAAGTGTGCACGGTCGATACAATTTGGGTTTTCGGGCCATGCAGCAACGGTTCTATCGTCGGCGAGGGGTTTCGGGGGTTTCCGGGTGAGGGTTGAGCGTTTCAGATGTTAGGCTTTTCGCGTTGAAGCTTTTCCGTATCCAGGGTTTGAGCAAATTCGTAGTAATATATTATACATGTATGTATGTATGTATGTATGTATGTATGTATGTATGTATGTATGTATGTATGTGCGTACGTATATGTACATAGGTATATCCTCTTCTAGTTAAAAAGTTCCATATGCCCAGATCTCAACCGCCAGCCTCGATTCGCTCGTATCTCAGTATCTCCTTTACCAGAAGTCGTGGCCTCACCCTAAACCCTACCTGTGGCCCAAAGAACTTCCGGCTCAAAGGAATCAAAGTAACCCAAAATATGGAACCCTGAATAAGGTGGGCTTTTCGGTTACGGGTAAACCATGCTTGCCTTACCTACCCGTCTCTGCGACAAAGGCGTCTCCTGGAGATTCAGATGACCCTGGAGCAGGTGAGTTGGGAGTACCGGTACCGGTGCTATGTGTTCCTCCTCTTCCAACTCCTGCTCCTGCTCCTACTCTTGCTC